AGTTTGACTTGGTTTTATATTGCTATAATAAGAAGATTTTCTAGAAAATTTACCTTAGAGTTATATATAAAAATATTTTCTTGAGTAATAACTAGCTTCAATAATCAAGTAAATTTAGTTATTTACTAACTTCTTTAATTTGGCAAGATGACTGAATTTTGTGGGTGTATTCACTGCAAACCCTCACGAGACTATAACTGGTTCACTAGGATAACCTAGGGGTTTAAAGGCTTGTTGTATGCGCTAAATACATCCGCGATTCCTACGAAAGTGAGTTAGGTTTTCTTTTTTTTTTCTTTGCTAGAGGACTAGCAAAAGTTTAGGTGTAGGGGTATTTGATAATCATATTTTATTACAATTTTATATCCTATTATCTATTTTTAATGAATAAATATACCATTAATAATTGTTTTTATCTTTAATTGCAGGTTAATGAAGAATAACGCCCAAAAATCTCATCTCTCAACAAAGCCCATGATTAATAAAGAATATATGTAAATACATGAAAAAGCCCAAAGCTAAAGCCAAATGAAAGAGAAAATCAGCGGATTACAAAAGGAGGGATATGAGTATCGATGCCAGCATCGATACCCGTATCGATAGCAGCATCGATGCTGGTATCGATACCTACGTCGTTCTGTTATAGATCGCATCGATACCCGTATCGATAGCAGCATCGATGCTGGTATCGATACCTACGTCGTTCTGTTATAGATCAAAGACTGAAATTTGCTTGTTTGGGATAAGATTTCAATCAAAGGGTTCTCATTCACTGATGTTTACTATAAATAGGGGTAGAGAGTGAGGGGTTGAGGGGGTGAAAATTTTTATAACTCTATTTGGAGAGGAGGGCCACTCTTAATTGAGAAGGCCTTTCAAATTTGTAACTTTTGTTATAATTAATAAAATAATTTTTTTCACCACTTTAAATATTTCTTCTCTTTGTTGGATGATGAAGATGGAGATGAAGAATTATTTAGAGGTTTGCATTTCTTTTCTTTTTCTCTTTTATTTCTTTTTATTTGCTTATTAGTTTAGATTTATTTCTATGCTTGTAGTTAGATTTTATTTTCTTGTTAAATAGCCAAGAGGCTAGAACCCTCTTGCCTTAGATTTATTTCATGCTTATAGATTAGATTTATTTCATGCTTATAGAGTAGATTTATTTTCTTATATTTAATTCTTATAATTTATTTTATAGTTTAGATTTTACAATTTATTTTATAGTTAGATTTTAATTTTTTGTACTATTCACCTTGAGGCTAGAACCCTCTTGGGCTTAGTTTTCCTTTTTGTTTATTTTTATTTTCTTTGATTCGCCTTTAGGCTATAACCCTCTAGGGAATCATCATTTTCTAAGAAGTGGATTCAATTCTAGATTAACCATATCTTTAATTGAATCCGTCATCTTTACTTTCTTGAATTTTATTTTTATTCTTGATTTTTATTTGTTTCTCGATTTTATTCATTCTTCTTTCTTGCCTTGTTGATCACATTTATTTTTACTCACACCCACTCTCAAACACATTGATTTACACACTATCACTTTCACTCTAATTATCTCTCCACAATCACACTTATTCTTTACTCCTATTTGTCATGCACACAACATAAGAACCGATTTATATTTTCTCCTACAAAACACCTTCCTCGTGGGATCGATAACTTTTTATACTATAACTTGATACGGTTGTGCACTTGCAATATTTTTGGTACATGTTTATACCGCATCAGTTAGGTCGAGCGATCAAACAGTCGGTCGACTGGTTGACTATAATAGCAGTTGCTGTAAAAACTATTTCTTACAAACCGACTGAAAAACTTGGTCGGTCGACTGAAAAGACTGTTCGGTCGACTGACTTAAGCAGTCGGTCGACTGATCGACTGAAATAGTAGTTGCTATAAAAATAGCTTCTGGAAAGTCAACTGGCTCGACTGTTCAGTAGACTAGCTGCTGAATTTGGCCACCAACAAAAGCAAGAAAAAAAAAGCCAAACAACTCCAAAAATTGTGAAACTTAGGAAAGCGTTTATACATACGAAAATAAACATGTTAGAAGAGGAGTTTCTAAAATAGCACTTCCCATTTGTGTAAACTCATTATTTTGCAAAATTTGCAAAATCGTTTAATATGATTTCATAGATTAACAGAATCGTCAGAAACAAAAAATTGTTAAACGCTTGATTCTGATGAAATCATTTCAAGAAAGTTTTGAAATATTTTTAAATAGATTAATAGACTTTAGAAAAGACGTAAAATAGTATCATTAAGTCTATAATTCGAAAATACGTTATCTTCCCAAATAGATATATAATGTGATAAATATGAAACTAATAAATATATTTTATGTCTAAACTTATCCACAAAGATATTCAAAAATCCTTTAACAAGGCGAATAAATAATGAAAGCGATAAAACGAAATAATATGTATGTGTATGGTTTGACCTTTAAGTATAAACACAAAGTAAAGCACCTAAACTAAGAAACACTATACCTAAGCAAAGAATCTTTATGAAGCTTGATCTTGGTAGCAGGGATGAAGCACGATAGCGTGTATTTGACTTGAATGGCAAATGCTTCATTCTAATTTCCGCTAACCTCCAATAGGATGTCATCGTTAATGTGCAAATCCATCCAACCTCCAATTTAGGATGAGAATCTTGAATGCATAAATACTATAAAACGATGTTAGGAATTATTTGTTAATCATCAAAAACAGATTAGACAAAAGGCTCATAAACATGAGACCTAACAGGTGGAGGGGCGGGGGATTTCTAAAACTAACTATAAAATCGTATATGTAAAATTATATATGTACCATATTATATTTTAAGTTGATGGGTTAGTCTTCTTCTTAAAATATTATTGATTGCTTGGTCAAATTTTTTGTATTATACATGTATCAAATTATATTTTAAGTTAATGGATTAGTCTTCTTCTTAAAATATTATCAATGAATTGGTCAATTTTTTGTTATTTATTGATTTGATATCATGTACTTACTAATTTTTATAAAGAGGGGTTATTGGTTTACCCGTATCTCTCTTTAAAGTATTAATAGAACACAAGACACCATACAAAGCATATGACAATAAAGATCTATAAAATTAAACACTTTCATATTATAAAACATTTCATTTTAAAAAAAACATTCTTTGTGATTTGTAAAAGATAAGAAACTTATTTAAAAAAATTACTCAAAACATTATCTCAAATTCTCTAGCTTAATCCGATTTTTTGTAATAACTAGAGTGAAACTCCAATAGGTTCTTAAGATTATTCTAGCAATAAATATTTAGATTCTTTATTTATCTCGAATATTTGGATTCTTAAGATTACTTATAGATATTTTAAACCACATATACTTTTTTAATTACATTAAAATTCTAATGCAAGCATCAAAAGATTGAGGTTTAATGTTAGACTATTTTAGATTAAATAAATATGTGAAGGCCTTATACCTCATCTAATTGTGATGTTTTTATTTGAATGCTTTGTGTTATAGAGTTTAATTCAATATACTATTTAGTTTATACCAAATCTCAAAAAAAAAGTCAACATAAGATGATTTTGCGGGCTGGCAAATCTTCGCAGTTTCTACATTAAAGAGATTTTTAGGTTCTATGATCACATGAGAGCACCGAATTTTTTATATCTTTTTTATTTTTAAATATTAAAAAAAGTGGGATACTAAAAAGGAGAGTTTGATGATTGAACCGTCTAATTTGAAATTTGAAAATTTTGAAGTAAATACTATCCATGCTCTCATTCGGCAAACCAAAATTTTCTTTTTCTCTTTTTATCTTAGAATTTTATAAATAAAGGGGGATATCATAAAAGAGAGGTTAGCAATTAGACTATCTAATTTTGAATTTTAAATTTTGGAATACAAGTCATCCACCCTCTTATTTTAAATTTCTTATAACTTTCAAATTATTTGAAGAACAAGCTTTGGCTCAGATTATCTAATTATCATTAATCCATAAGGTATAAGTTATTGGTATAAGCCATTTGTACGCTCATATCCATAAAAAAATATGTAAAATTTAAAAAAAGTACCAACAGTTAATAAATTGTTCAATATAATTTAGAAGCATCCATATGATTAAAGAATAAACCCGTAGAGACCAACAAATCAGTTAGAGAAAAAAATTAAATCCCTAACCTTCCAATCTAATGATGCGAATACAGTTCCCGCTATCCGCTCTATATTCTTTATTCTACATATAAGACTCACCTGTGCAAGCATGAGTAAAATACTTGCAATATATGTGCTTTATTAGTGAGATGCAAATGGAAAACAGTAGTTGTGACCCTTCCGATACACAAAATATCCGTAATTGTGAACACTAGGATTTGAACATGTGCTGCTTTGATATCATATTTAAAGCCCCTTTTATGACCTTTAAATAGAACTCCAAAAAAAGCCTCATTGTGCTATTAAGGAGTACACATCCTATTAGAATCTCACATGGTGCGCGGTGATCTTAGCCACTAAAGGGGGCACAGAAACTAACATAGTGCCCTTCTTAACCTCACATGCTAGGCTCAGAGCCCTCCACACAGTGTTGAACGTTTTGATAGGATGTGTACTCTGCTATTAGAGGTGATGTTGAAAAAATTGCAAATGTTTGAGGGAGTTATGACAAGTCTCAATGATCAGGAGCATTAAGTGTCATCTATAGAGTTTAGGGTGTTATCTCAAAATGGGTCAAACTTTGGAAAGATTATGTGAAATTTACCAAATCCCTCGGTGCCTGTGTGATGATGACCATCTTATTGAGTTAATGATGCTAGCAACTCCATGATCCACGCCAAAACATCCACGTGGTGGCTAAACGTGCGATTGCTTAAATTGCTCAATCAAGTTATGTAGGCGTTGGATACACACACTCAAGTACGTTAGTAAAGAATGAGATATCATGTTAGAAGCTTGATTTCAATATCCACAATAGGACTTCTCATCATGCACTACTGCAATTAGGCATGTCCAATCTCGTACTCAAACCAACTTACATACTAGTGCATTAAATTACATAACTATAACGTCCACATGTATTTTCAATTCTTTGTCCTCTCCTTCACAATTAATGAAAAGAAGCATCAATAATCATAATAACCCAAATCAGACAACACAATTCCTAATTCATCATAATCACCCTCATCATATTACATGCTCTTTCTTTCCCATCTGCACTCTAAATGGCGGTGTTTGATCATCCCCTGCACAGCTCGAATCCGGACTGTAACCTGTATTTCGTTTAGTCGTCTGGACCTGCAACCTTCTACCCGCCTGCAACGGGCTCTGACCACCGAATTTCCCTTGAGCCCGAGCCTTAGCCTTGGCTGATTGTGTCGCTGCCATGTAGCTTGGAACTGCTCGAACTCCTACTGATCTCTCATCTCCTTGGTAGTGAGAAAACTGACGTTTCAGGTAATTCTTTGGGTCTGTTGTGCTTCGCCCAGTGTCGATTTCCACTGTTTTTTCTGACAGGTTGTCGACAGTGTTGGTGGGCGTTATGTATGCACTCTCGGGCTGCAGCAGCATGCTTTCTTGAGGTGTTTGCAGTTGTTGATTTGACATCCAGCGCTCAAGCCAATTCCATCCCCATTGAGGACGATCCTGCAACTAGAGATTGTGAAATGAATATGGCATTTTGAGAACAAGAAGATATTTTCAGGGAAATAAGTTGTCGAGAGACGGAAATTCTAATTGCTCAGGAAGCAAAATGGGTCACGCAAATGTTATATTGTACCCATTTTTTGCAGTTTTCATATTGGTAAATAAACATTAAAGTCATTAGGATAAAGTACTTTGGTCAGCATATTTGGGAAAATATGTGAAAGTATACCTGACAGGAAAAGGCATAGGCGAGAGCTCTTTCACGGTCCATAGCATCATCACTTCTCATCTGGCTCTCCATCATTATGCTTTGCTTGTCTTTGTAATAGGGGCTCTTGTTGCTACGATGTGAATGAACTCCTCCATCATCATACTCATCATAGTCATTATCAATATCGCCTTCTTTGATAGAATAAGCATCATTCTTGCGGTAACTGTGTTTATAACTAGTGGGAAGATTGACTCTGTGATTGTTATTGTGTATTATGCTGAGGCGCCGAGCTCGGACACGAGCCTGGACGCGCACGAGAGCTTGCATACAGCGCATGGTCATCTGAGCTTGTTTCCGGACAATGTGTCCTCTCACAAGCGCCTGAAGTCGAACCAAACCTCTCAGTGCACGTAGTGCTATCCGGGCCTGCACAACAAAATCAAGCATTCATTCTGTTCCACAAGTCAAATAAACGATATCAGCATGTTTGGGACTTTGTGAAAGTGGCTTATAAGATATGTTTAACGAACATTTTTTTTGACTTATAAGCCAAAAAAATATAAGCTGGGTTAGCCCAGCTTATTTTTTTGGCTTATAAGCCACATAGTTTGACCAGGTAAAAGACCACTATATCCCTTAACATTTAAGAAAATTCAAAAGCTTTCTATTCTCTATCTTCAATCACTTTTTGGTTATTTTTGACAACAAATATGGATTATAAGCCAATGATTTTCCAAATAATCTACTAATGAAAATGGATTATAATCCATTAAATTTACCAAACACTTCGGGATTATATCCACTTAAATTGAGAGCCATTTATATGGATTATAAGCTGAGTGGATTACAATTTAAAGTTTCCAAACATAGCCAATCCACTATTGTTAGATTATTATCCAATTCAAAAGTGTAATTACTCATATCTGAGTCATGTAATTTATTGTTAGGTTTCAAAGGTTCATCGAATAGAGATGGAATTAGGCTCATTTAACTGGACCTACATTGACCCAAATTGATTAATCTTATCTGCGTCATTGAGTCTGGACATGTCTTATTATTATGTATCCGTCTAAATCTATGATTTAGATACTTCATCTATGCCTTAAGTAGTGAAGATTGCTCCAGGTTTAGAAAATAAGGTCAAAAAAGTTTTTTTTTTTTTTTTGGTGGGGTGGGGGGGTGGTTGTTCCTAAGCTTAGGACTTTATGGACTTTTAATTGATTTATTTATTCGGGTATTGCATTGACATTAATTAATTAAAAGTTAACAGAACTAACCAGATATCCTCTGTAGTACGACTGAATTACAACGCAGCCTTCTGCCTCGCCTCGACATCTCTTCATACCCAGGCCAGTCTCACGCACCTTCGCCGCAGCTGCGGATGCCAGCAACCGGCAGCCTCCGGCAGCTGCTGCAGTTGCCGGCTGGCTCACGCCTCGGCGTGTCTCTGGAACCTCATCGTCCCCATCCCCGTCCACGGACGTATCCGCCGGAAAATGCTCGACCGACACAATCTCCGGCATCTCCTCCTCCTCCTCCTGCTCCACATGATTCACAGACCACTCCATTTGGTTATGAGAGCAGTCTTTGGAGGGGGATTTGAAGGCCCTTTTCATTGATTTGAGCCAGCTGCTTGATTTCTTCCCCATGGAGCATGTACTCGTGTACACAAAGAGATGAGAGGAGAGGAGAGAGTAGGAGTTAAGAGAAGTCGGGAGAAAAGGGGAGAAAAAGGGTAAGGTGGGCAAGTAGTAAATGGGATGCCGTGCAGACGCCGACGGTATTAATTATTTCTCACGAGAACCATCCCCTGATCTGTTTGTTCAAGCTAAAAAAAGTTGGAAATTTCAGAGATGTAATTCATAGATGAGATTCGGTCGTTGTTCTTTTTGAGATGGGGTGTAGTTTTCATGTGATATATGGGCAATTGACATATAAGTGAAAGGGACGCAAGGAAACGGCGTGCATGCATCAGAGGGAGGAGAAATTGCTCTCAAACTTTATAACGGAGTTTGGTTCTTTAATCTTCAGAAGGTCGGTGAACGCGAATGGCAAACGGATACTTGGGCCAAATTTTAACTTTAGTGGGCGAAGAGAAACGGCTGGGCCCTTTTTGCGCCCACGCACGGAGAGGAGACGTTTTGAGATCATGTCCCCTCAAATTATAATCCATCAGAATTCCAAATTCCCGATAAAATAATGGCGCAATGAAATGAACTCTTATGAAACAGCAGGCTCGAAGGCGAAGAAAAAAGAGAGGAGGCCATGTGATTTGATATTTGATGTTTTGCTCGGTTTTGAGTATTATTATGGATAGGGTGTTTAAGTTGTAAGATTGAGTTTAATTTTGTTGATCTTTTAACAAATAGTTATAACAAAGATAAATAGGTAAGTTAACCCTTAAAATTGTTAAAAATTTAATGATAGTTACAGTGGAGGGTAAAATTGAATTTGGAATATAATAATAAAGGGTAGGTTTAGAAAGACAATGATTTGGAAGACAAATTTAGAAGAGAAAATTGCTTCCACCCTCCTTCACTTTAGAAACCAAGCCTCCCCTGAGACAACTAGTCAAAAGCCAAAAAAAAACCCCCTAAATCTGATTTTTAGTTGGTTTGGTTCACCCCTTGTTCCCACCATATTATGCTCATCATATACTGTACTTTAAAATAAACCAAATTACCCCGCCTACTTATTTGGAAAACAGCTCAATTATTTCTACACATTTGATTAACAGATCTTGTTGTAACTATATAGGAAGTTGTAGATTTTTTAGGCGGGAATCCGAAACTCCAAATTAAGCGATTATTCTGCAGCATCTTTATTTCTCATCCCTTAAATCTCTCTTCTCGCTCATCCATGTTTCTTTCGTTCAACATCTTTTTGTTGTCATTTCCCCCTTTTTAATTAATCGGTGCATGGCGCGAAGTGTTACACTATGTGTGTCATCTAAAGGAGGAACGCAATGTTGTTAATTAGAATGTGGTAGCTATGGAATGAGTTGTATACTGCTAAATAAATTTATTAAAATAAAATGATTTTTAAAGTGTTAAATAATATATTAATATATATATAGTATATTATATATATATATATATATATTATTATATATATATATATATATATATTATATATATATATACACACACACCACACACCACATCAACATATACACGGGATGGTACAACAAATGCAGTTTTGTACTTATCTTTTTCTTCTATTTGAATTTGCCAATAACCCGATTTTAAATCAAATTTAGAAAATATTTTTGCATTATGAATGTGATTTAATAAATCTCTTTTGTTTGGAATAGGATATCTTATCTATTTAAGAACATTGTTTAATGGTTTATAATTTTATAACCAAACAGGGTACTCCTCGCTCTTGTTTTGCATGTTTATTAACATAGAATATAGTGCAATTCCAAGGACAATAAGATGTTTTTAATTATTTTTATCTCTATAAGAGATTGTATTTTATTTTTACATAATTCAAAATATTATTTATTCATTTGGCATGGTCTTGATTTTGTAGGAATATCCTTTTTATTAAAATTGTCAATATAAGGTAGTGAAACAATATGTTGTTTGCTATTCCAAAAAGCATTAGGAACATCATTGCATATAGTGAGTTTAAATTTATTTTCTAATTGACTTATTAAGTCTTTTTGTTTTTTTATTTGTTCTTCAATTTGAACAAATATTAATTCTTCTTTAAGAAAATTTATTTGATTTTCTTTTAATATTATGTTTTTAACTTCATTTAACATTCTCGTTTGAGGATTAGTTATAAATTCAAATATAATTTCCTTATTTTCATAAGTTACTTTAATTCCATTTGTGACAATTTGACTTATAGGCATAATATTATTTAAAAATAGAGTCCCGAGTATTACATGTTGGGATAAATTTTACTAAAATACAAGGAGTAGGTATACAAATACCTTGTACACACATATGTGCTTGTGGTAATTTATATTTTACCTCTAATTGATTACCATTGACACTGCTCAAAGTTTGAGTAGTTTTTTCAAAAAATTTAGAAGGTACTTCCTTCATTTATGTAGTTAAGGTCTGCACCACTGTCAACCAGAGCTATGAGATCTGGTATAAACATTTGTTCAGCTATAACTAGAGTAATTTTAATATACCATTTTTGTGATGTAATTTGTTGCAGTATTTGTAGAAAATCATTACTTTCATTATCACTATTTTGGATTATAGCATCATTATCTTCTGCAGATTTCTTGTCTTATTTAGAAATAATATATTTATTTTCTTGTTTTAAATCTTTTACTTCTTTTTTCAAATCTTGTATTTCTTTATATTAAGATTTGGTAAAGATAGTTCTTTGGAAGTGGATGCAATATTTTGCCTTTTTTTAATACTTCATCCATGTTATACACATTATCAATATTTGGTTTGTCTTTTATTTCTTTATTGTTGTTTAATAAAGAATTTATAAGTTCTTCTTTTAATTCAGAAGATATTTCACTACAAAAAAAAGAAGAGTTAGGGGCAATTATTTTCGTCACTTTTAATTTAATTAGAGGCAAATAAATAGAATTATCTGCCTCTAATTACATGAGTGGCAAATCTCGCATCCGCACCTAAATGTGGTGTTGCTAATAGTTATTAGGGGCAATATTGCACAAACTTCCGCCCCAAATACTAAACGCGCCACATCAGCTCGTTTATTTGAAAAAGTATTAGAGGCAAATATAATTGCCTCTAATAACTTATTAGAGGCAAATATAATTGCCTCTAATAACTTATTAGATGCAAATATAATCACCTCTAATAACTTATTAGATGCAGATGTAACTACCCCAAATAGTTGGAATTAAAATAAAAATATTAATTAAAGGTACAAATATAATTGCCTCTAATAACTTAAATTTGATATTAATATTTTAATTTTTTAATAAATCTGGAAAAAATAATTAATTTTTATTTCATATAATTAAATTGAAAAACAAACATAAAATAATTGAAACATGAATAATTTTGATTGATAAGAATGGTTGGAAGGAGATTGCGGACGACGATGCTGATATGGTTGATATGGGCAAGATGTCGGAATTTGTTCGTAAGGTGACTGTTGTTGGGATGAAGACCACTGCTGGGAGTTAGACTGTTGTTGGGAGGAAGATTGTTGATGCGGATGTGCGTTCCCTGAAGTGATCATCTGTTTCAACTCATCCAACTCCTTTTGCTGTCGCTCATACTTTTCCTCAAGTTCTGAATATTGAGATTGCAAATTAGCATATGCTCGCCCAGTACGTGATCGAAGTGATGAAGATGTTGGCTGAGTTTGTGCCACCCAAGGAATCATTTCTGGCGTCACCCCTCTTCCATAACCACGAACTCTACCACGAGTCTCTAAACCCCTTGCTGCTACATAAGCTTGTTGCCTTAGTTCTGATGTTTCCTCGCCATGGGTTTCAACCAAACTCGTTAACTACCGTGAGATCTTAACCTGAAAAAAGAATTCGCTTCAATAGTCAAAATGGACACAATATGAAGTAAAGCAATTTTTTTACATGTATTACTTGTCTTAATACAAATGATTAAATTTCAAACTCACCGCCAATTCCTCTGATGCATCATCTATCCAACTTTTGTTTTCATCTCGCCGCTTGTGCACTATATAAAACATCTCAATAGGATCATGTTTGCGACCATGTTTTTTCTCCTATTTGTAAAACACAGAAAAAAAAATCATAAATTTTATTTAATTAAAGAAGCAACATCTCAAAGAAGCAAACTTCAACAGTAAATGTAGACATCAAATGTGGTCTACATAAAATAAAGGTCAATTCAAACAAATACAGGACAACTATTTTCGGCATTAAATAGAAGGAACCAAACAGAATGTAGATGAAGTTGAAGGAAGTTAAGCCTCGTATACTTTTCACATGGATTGCTTATAATGTAATGGGGCTTTTTAACAGTGGTGATATTTGGCAAACTTCTAAATGGAACAAGAACAAATAACACTTTCAGGTTTCAACTACTACGAGGTTTCATCATATGTATGATTAGAAT